AATCCCTCACTGTCAGCTTTGTCAGTAACAGAGATCTGAACGTTCACAAACAGACAATTTACAGAATCAAAAACAGATCGACTTGATATTTAAAAGATATCTTATTCACCACGCCCATGAATCCCTCACTGTCAGCTTGTTGAATACAGGAATCGATGTGTATATACACCCATTGTGTTTATCGAATCCCGAATTTACATCCAAGTGGCAGCATACCTTCAGACACCAACACCAAGTGACTGTCTGACCATAACTTGTAAGTTGCGGCCACGAAGCACTTTCAATTCCCCGATTTACACCTAGTGGCAGTGATACCTTCAGATACATAATAACCCAACAAATGCTCAGTGAAAACTCACCCTCTACGCCATTCCACTTCAAAGCCAGCTTTCTGGATGGAAAATTATCTCAATAATGATGTTCTAAATAACGTCGTTCAGAACGATTCTCCTGGTAATGATATTCAAAACACTAATAACACTGATTGTCTCCCACCTACAAATGACAACTTGAATATACCTTTTTCTTTTAATAACTTTACATTTGTATTTATATTTGCAATATTTTTACCATTTTTCCTTAGAATAATTTGTTTATCATCTTGATAATCTTATCAAGTGTATCTTTATATTTATTCAAATAAAAAAGTATATAAAGACATCTGTTCACTTTCTCAATAATAATAAGATCTGTTTCTTATTTATTTATTTAAAAAAGAATAAAAAAAAATTGAAAATAATAACTAAACATAATAGAAACTGAAGCCTTTGATCTCTAGCTTCAATTTCTTTATGAAGCTCTTGAATACTAATTTTAAGATCTTGAACTTCATTTGAAATATTTTCATATTCTTTCAAACGAAGTTTAAGATCCTCTATTCTTCTTTTATATTCTTCTTCCCCTATATTTAGTTCAGAAATAGTTGACATATAGTCAACTAAATCTGAAATCATATCAGTTTCATTTGTTAATATGATTTCAGATGTAGATGACAAAACTTCATCATCCATCCCTTCACTAAATGCAGGGGCTACCAATACCCTAATAACATAATAATTGTAAATTGGGGAATTTGGCAAGAACTCACTCCAAATCTTGGAGAACATCAGGACCTAATATTAATATTAATATCAACCGTTTTTGAAAGATGAGTGAAAGAAGATTCTGTAAGTAATACATACATATGTGGGTAAGCAAGAGGGAAGTGTGAAATCTGAGACCATCCTATTAGCAGACTACTAAAGTTTCTCTTATTATATGCTTTGAAACACAACTTACTATTATATATTAAGCTTAATCAGTAAAATAAAGAAAGCAAAATAACATTTAATATTAATATTAACTTGCACTGATCATTATTATTATAAGTTCAGATAATACCATTAGACATTATCACATTGTATTGAGAAGGGGAAATTAGAATAATGTGACTGTGAGTTGCAGCCTTTTTTATTTGAGAGGGGACCACAGGTTGCAGTCAATGTTCTTTTTTTTGGAGGGGTGGGGGGTACTGCAGGTTGCAGTCTATTACTATGTCCTTTTTTGCTTGCGCTGGGGGGATTGTGTTGTTGTTGCCACTGGCATCAGCATCGTCATCATCATTTCACAGATTGTGCTTGGACTGTAATGTGGTGTTTTTCCCCCAGTTATATTTATGACTACTGACTGCACGCCGAGAAAGTTGATTTCATTCCAATCGGGTGCCGTGCCAGTAGCGGATATTCACGGCTTGCAGTGATCGTTATAGGGTTTGGTTTGGGATCGGACCTGCAAACAACTATATGAACATCATCGATGCCATATGCTGATACTTTCTTGACACGAAAGTCAAAGGAAGCTCTTTCAGCTTCAGATCATTTTTTGCAGTCAATGTTGACGATTCCATGAACGGCACCTAAAATAATAAAAAGAGTAATCAAAAAAAAGTTTTAGGTTGGATAAGTGGGTAAAATAACCTGAGAAAATGACATACCATGTATGGTGCAGGACACCTAAAGACCGAACAGTCCGAAATTTTGTTCTGCAGATCGCTTATATTTATCGATTGCCGCTGTTGCTGTCATCTTTTGATGTGGCATCCTTAACTTATACTCTATGGTGCAAGATACCCAAAGACCGATCGTGAGGAACTTTTATTGTCCGGAGCAAAGCGAAGGACTGTTACTGTTTACGCACTGTGAAAATTCGATCACATGAATTTCTCTGTGCGGCACATGATCTCGACCAATGATTGTGATTGATGATGATGACGTTATT